CAAATAGTTACATTATTTTTATTTTGCCTACCAGCATTATTACAAGTAATCTTTAAATGCTTTTTACTTTTATTCAATTTCTTAATCTTATCAAAAATCATACTAAGAGTTCTATTAGGTCCTTTCCTATAATTTCATCTTCATTAAGAACATAATTAAGTTATTCCCTCACTGTCTCATTTTGAATACCAAATGAATGAACTTTACATAGACTAAGGTAATAGATTTTATTTATTTGTTGATCTAAATGTGACACATGAACATTTTAGACTCAATTATAACTATAATGAGCAGTAATATTAATGTTACAATAAGGTGTTTTACTCTTTAAATAATTCTGATTAACTAATTTTCTTTATTCTTCTGCTAATTTAGTGTTTTTATTATAATAATTTTTTTTTACTTTAGTTTTAGATAGATGTTCTTTAAAACTTTTAAGTAAACTTTTAGCTTCTTCTTCTTGACAAGTATTATAATGTAAATAATCTTTAAAATGTTGACAAGTATCACATAAATCAGTCCTTGAATTTATAATTTGAATCTCTGATGTTAATTGATGTTACAACTTCTTGAAAGCATCATATTTTAAGGATTTCAAATTACTATTTTCTTTTAGACCAGCTAGAAAATCTTTATGCACTGATTTATAACTCATTTCAACTAATAAGAATGTAATTGATTAGGTTATTTTATTGATAATTTTTCCTAGACTTGGTAAGTTATGGACTTTTGCATAATTTTACAGAAAATTTTTTACTACTTCAGCAATATTTTTATCAATCACCATCTTAGTTTTTCATTAAAGCATCCTTTTAATATTACCATAGACTCTTGTTAAAAGACCATTGTTTAGCATATGATTTCTAATATTTTTAAAGTAAGTTCTACTAATTTCTAATATATTTAGATAAGCTTTTTGACAAAGAAATGTATTGTAATCTCAGTGGTAGAAAATTTTTTATTTAGATCTGTTTGTCTTTTAAGGTATCTACTAGTGCTAATTGATTTATCATCCATTACCTTAAGCTGAGCTATTAAAAATATATTTTATTCTGATTTAGAAACAGCTTAAAAAGATTTTCTTAATTATGCAAAATTTTCTTTGGAAATTCTTAAAGAACAATCACAATCACAACCTTTCTCTAAAAAATCAATGGCCTTTTGATATTTATTAGAATTATTATATTTATTATTATTTTTCATATATACTTATCTATATATATATAATTTTATGTTTACTTTGTAAATTTTCATTTATTTTAAAATTGAAGGATTGGCCTTGTAATAAATAAAATAGAATCAATTTTTAGGTGAATCTATAATAAATGTTAAAAGCAGTTTAAATTATAATAATATGAAAAGAATTTAATCAAGTAGCTTCTGTAAATATAATATTCAAATAATTATTACAAATTATTAATGAACAAGTAATTTAATTATTGTAAAATTAAAAGTACAAATTATAATAATAATGCTAATAATAAATAAATTAATTTTATATTGTATAGAACTTATAGACTTTTCAAAAAATACAATCATAATTTAAAGATATCTTTTTTAGATATAAATAAATATAATAATAATAATATAATTATACTTTATTAATACAAAATAATCATATAAATAATAACATTTATCATTAATAACAATAAAAATAATATTTAATAGTTATTTAACATAAAGTGTTAAATAACTATTATATTGGAAAAATTAAATTTGATTCCTAATATTATTAGTTACCTTATAGATAGTGGTAGTTATTCGACTTAAAGTATTAGATAAGTAATTTATCTAGTTTCCTATGATTAAACTATTTTTTTTAACTTTTTTAAACTTTTTTTTTATAAATATATAATATTTTTTTCTTACAAAACAATTTTTTCTTATGATATTTTTTTTTTTATGAATAATTTATATTCACAAACTAAATTCTGTTAATGAAAATTGTAAATAATTTTACATATTAAAATTATAAATTATATTGATTTTAATAACTAATAAATTTTTAGACTTATTTTAAACTAATAGTTGAGGAACTTTCAAGGATTCAACAAAGCTGTGTATTATTAAATACAGTTAAATATATTGAAAAATGTGTCAATATTTTAAATACTTAGTGTAAAAATGTGGACTATATCTATACCTTAGAATCACTTTTCTCTAATGAACAAATAAAAAATGAAATGTATGAATTTATATATAATGTGAGAATAACAAAAGGTGAAAAATACTTGATAGCTTCTTTGAAAAATGCTGTTACCTTAATAAGTCGTCATCTTAAAAATTCTAAATCACAATGGAATTATAATCTTTTAGATAAAAAGAATTTTATGCTACACTTGATAGTACCTTAAAAGAAATGAAAAAATTAGGAATAGGTGCTTCAAAACTACATGAAGGTTTAACAAATGAGGAATTAAAAACTATCTTATCTAATAATGTCATGTCTTCAAATGAACCTGAAGGGTTGCTTCAGAAAGTTTTTTTTTAAATTTATCTATTAAGATATTCGCAAAGTAGCGAGCATTACAATTTACTAATTAAACAATTTGAAGATACAGAAAAGGGATTTATTTTTAAGAAATTTCAACAAAAAAATGATCAAGAAGGATTAGAAGATAATCAATCTATTTTTGAAATACCATTTCTATCAGATATTAAGGGTATGGCTGAACCTAATGCAAATATTTGTAAGTATATTTTAATGAGACCTTTAAATTGTAAAACTAAAACATTTTATTTAGAAATCTCAACAAATGTATCAAATAAATATTTTTTTAATTATTTTATTATTAATTAAATTTCTACTTAATTTTAATTTTTTTTAGCAATTTCTAAAGGAATATGGTATTATGATTGAGGATTTGGAGAAAAATGAATTAAAGAAATGTTTTGAGAAATTTGTTTAGTATGTAGTATTAATATATCTGGAAGAAATATTTCTAATCATTCAGGACGTGATATAGCAATTCAATCAATATTTGATGCTGAAAATAAAGAAGTTGAAGCAATGGCAATTTCAGGTTACAGTTCATCAGCTGGAATGCATAACTATTTTAAAATAACAAAGAAAAAAAAGAAATATTCTTAATTCAGTTATGCAAAGATTAATTGAAACTGTAGAACATAATAGTATTAATAAAGATGATGCATTACAAGACAAGATATTTTTACATTTTTATTATATCAATATTATTATATTTTTATATTGATAATTAATTTAAATTGTATAGTCATCTAATAGTTTTAATAAGGTTTTACAACTATTAAATAAAAAAAAATAAGAGGCCTTTACAAGAAATTTCATCTTCCAAATTAAATACAAATCAAAAGAAAAAAAGAAAGGAAAAAAAAATAATTATTAATAAAACTTATTATATTATATATAATTAATTAGTTTTAAATGTAATTTTATTAATACAAATAATGCTTAATAAAAATTATTAATGATTTTTTGCCTGATAAACGATTTATTATAGTCATCATTAATTATAAAAAATCACGGCATACCGGATAATTATAATTCTTCGAAGAAAACACAAATCAATAATAGTAAATTGAGAAATAAATTTTCTAGATTACCAAATATGGTAATAAAATTAATTATCAATTTTGACTATTTTATTTTATTTTTTCATTTACAAATAAATATGATGCATTGTAAAATATTAGAAAAATCAATCTCAATATAAATGAAATACCTCTCTCAATAACCAAGATAGTTACTACTAACTAACTATTTTGACAAGTTAAAGAAAAAAAATTAACGGAATTTACAAATATTTGGAATTTCTCTGTACAACTTTTATATGTATGTCTATTTTTTCTATCCTCCAATACACGTCGCTCTCGGTTTAACGGACAAGTTTATCCCAAAAAATTTATCCGTTAAATCAAGAAATCCGTAAAACCAAGAGTTCATAATAATAATAAATAACCAAATCACGTGATACACGTTAAAAAATCATTTTAAAAAATAATAATACAATAATGTAATAAATAAAATAAAATAACATGTTTTATTCTATCATATTAATATAGTCTTCAATACTTTTTTGTACACTTGAGAATTTCTATAAGAAATCTCACTCTTTAGTTGTTTGATGATTCTAATTACATTACAAATCATAAAAATCACAAGGTTTATTTTTTATGCTTAAATCGTTTAAATCTTAAATCTTAAATTTTAAGTTTTATTTCTATTAAATAATTATTACGTTGTATCGAGAGATATTTATTATATGAGATATGTGAATTTTTTTAAAAAATATCCGTTAAATCAAATATATATAAATATCCGTTAAATCCGTTAAATCGAGATACCCTTATATCCGCTAAATCAAGGTCCGCTAAACCGAGATTCATGTGTATCCAAGTAGAAAGTTCATTCATTACCAAAAAAACCAAAACCGGATAAACTAGAAAGATGATGATGCCAATGTAATTATCAATCATTTATTATTATTAACAGGACCAAACTTTGCAATATTATATAATAATTATCTATCTATGGGCGATCTATTAAATTTAAAGGTCTCTGGATCTTTTATAAAACTATGAATTTCTATATTTATTTTTTGGCTGCAGAAGAGGAAGAGAATTAAAAACCAGCTCAAACTTTTATCGATCAAGTTTTTTATGGATTTCTAATATTTAACAGATATTTTCGCTCATTGAACAAAAAAAATATTTGTAGCCCGATTTTTTTCAATGAAAATGAATAATTGGATAATAACAAACAATGAATTGATATCAAATTTGGTTCTTTGATACAAAACAAGCGAAAATAGACTTATTCAAAACATCTTGAATATAGTTTAAAGCAATTTTTTTTGCAAACATTCTCCTTTATTCTTTGCAATCAGGATTGTTATTTTTGGTGGTAATTCTCTGTTCATAATATTGTTTTTTGTTTTAAAAATGTGCATGCAAATAGGAAAAAAAAATGGAAACTTCTATTATAAAAACAATATGTAGTGGGTTGCAAGCCCAATCAAATGTCAAATGATTTTGTTCATCTTCAAAGATTTTTTAGTACCATCTTTTCTGGGTTGGTTGTGATTTATTTCAGAAAGGGCCCGTAGATTATGTGCATTGCTATAACGTGAATTTCTTTTGTTTCTAGTCCGTTGAAATTCACTGTCAGTTTCACCAATCATTAACTATGATGCATAGAAAAAATGGGATCAGATTACAAAAATAGTAATATGCAACTTATATTCCTAATACTTACCGCCCAAGTGATAATAGCACGGAAGAAAAAAGGAAACAAATTGACCCCTATAAAATCTGTTGGTAATTCACATGATTCAACTTCAAAAAGTCGGTAAGTACCTAAAAGAAAAATATAACTGATGTTCAATACTAGATACCCAAATGAGATATATCATCACCTTGGTTAACTGAATGTTTCGATATACCTAAGAAATCCATAAAATAAAAGCTAAGATTCAAGCCATAACTCTGAACCATGTATACTCGAAAATTTTCTGGCAATACTCTCTTTGATTTTACTTCTGATATAACAACAAAATTTAACATATCCTTTCCTGCACGTGCATTTTGAATATAATCTGCAATTTCTTTGTCAAAATCAACATTGTAAGGCTTGCTTCCTTCTGTCACACAGAATTCATAATGCTTTTCATTTGTTGTATATGCTATTCCATCTGAACGGTCTGCATTCCCTTTTTGATTCATTATTAATTTTCTGTAGTATGAAGCATCAATGGCCTTATTCCCCCTAAAAATAAGAACATAAGAATAGTTACATAAATTATTACATTAACATGGAATGACAAGAATGAAACAATCCCTACGAAACATAGCGAATTCCTGAAAAGTGAGCAAGTGCCTTTTTTAAAACTGGGTGTATGTATGTATTCATAAACTCATCTTCTAACATTTCATGATCTTTAAGAGGATTATCATGCAACTGTTCAAATACATCAAAACTAAAGGTAAACTATTAATGTTAGTAAATCTTAATGAAAGTGGGATTCTATTTAAATATAATTACAATATTGGTAATATTTCAAACATAAATCTTTTCAATTTCCTTAAGAAAGGATCTTCTTCTGGCAATAATAAAGTTTCTAACTTATCCTGCCATTTTTGATAATTGCATCCCTGTTAAAAAACAAAAACAAGAATCCATATGAATAGTTAACAAAAAAATTTTAATTTACCACAAGATAATAAACAACAATACCTCTGAAAAAAACTCAGAAAGAAAATAGAAGCCTTTGTCTGGAAATAACTTGTCAACAGGTTCAAAAACTTCCTTCAAAACTTGAATATGGTCAACCTCTTCTGTGTACCTCATAACAAACTCTGATGTTGGTTTTAGGTCCATGATTTCATTTGATGTCATTTCATTTTTGGTATCAGCACAATATTTTTGGAAATTATCAATTAAATTACTCATGCTCTTCGAACATTTTTGCTTTTCATTAAGAAGATTCTTCACACACTTATCCTGCAAAATTATTTTAGATTATAATAATAAGTTCTAACAATTTTTTCATTTTTGATTTAATACTGTGGAATGATCATATATACTTACCATATTCTCATTTTCCTTTTTCTTTTTGTAATTTATTTGATTTTCAACATTCTTAAAATCATCTTTTGTAATTCTATCTAATGAACGTTTTAGATTTGAATTCTTCCAAAGAAATATAATAATACATATAAACATTATATCTTAATAAATATAATATGGAAAATCTTGTCAATTCTACTCACAGATTGACCATAATACATTGTATTACTTTTCATACTAACCTCTTTAGAGCTGCTTGAATTCATTTCATCTGAATGCTTCTTAATCATTTCACAAGACATATCATTATAAAGATTAAGAATCTCATTCCCTTGTTGAGATGTTGATTTATCAAAAATGTCAACTGAAGTAATATCAACCTTTCGTTTCAGTTTAAGCTGTACAGCACCAATAAAGATGATTAGGCAAATATCTATATTGAAACATATTCAAATAATTCACCCACCTGTTTTGATTTGACTGATTGAACATGCTCAACTTCCTTCCAGAAACATATTCGTGGCTCTTCATTTTGCAACTGCAATAAAAGACCTAAATTAGAAAATTAGGAAAAATATAATGGGTCGGGATGTTATAAGACGGAGGACGACACTCCATTCTCCAGTTTAGGGATGACACCAGCTGGAGTGTCTTTAACATCCCTACACTTCACAGGGACGACACCTGCATAAGTGCAAGACATTGAGCTAGAGGACGACACTCCATTCTCCAGTTTAGGGACGACACCAGCTGGAGTGCTCATATGTCTTTAGGATTATATTTAGTATAATACGTGTTCATGTATTTTTTTCACAAATCACCTTTTTAATCAATCCTTCATCAGAAATCATTTGTTTCGCTTTTGTAAAAAATCTATTCTTCCAGATGGAAAACTTATTGTACCAAGTTCTATCATCAAATTCTTCATTCACTAGTGATGCGTTCTTTTGTAAGAAATCATTGAGGGAACATCTTTCATAATGTATCTTCAAGTATGATTCTATTGCTATTATAACAAGTTCATTGTGTCAAGACAAGCTGTTTCTGATAATTCACAAACATGATGCCAAAACTTACCTATGTCAATGGCAGACATTTTTCCTTGACAAATAAAATGGGAGAAACGCGTAAAACTATGTTTTGAGAAAAAAAGGATCTACATTTCAAGGGATCCTTGTTTACATTTAAATCGCGTTATTTATAAATAAAAACACATTACTATGTTAAGATTAATTCATTGCTAATATTAATCAAAATTTTCCATATTTATAAATAATGATTTTACACAAATAATTAAACACACATTACTAAATAATAATATTAATCAAAATTTTCATGATTTTACACGAATAATTAAACACACATCAAATTTTACATATTTCTAATTAATAAATCTCTAAATTCTACGAAATTAAAATCTCTCAACAACTATCTTCTTCTTCCAAAAAATGTGAAAAAGCTTTTGAAACTGCTTTTAATTTTCTTGAACAAATAATATACAAGTAGATTATAATGAGTTAAAAGCTTTAAAATCATTGAAAAAAAAAACAATAAAATCATATAGTATTCAAAATTCAATACAAACAAACATTAACTATTAAATTTTACTGTATTATATCAAGTATTGTATTGTATTAAGTAATATTATTATATTTAAATCACAAAAAATATTATTACTAAATTTTCCTGTTTGACTGTATAACAAATTTGAACCCTGAAATTCTTGATAATACAAGTGCTCACTTTGTCTGGTTTTGTTGCAGCATGTCCCAAATAAAATAGCTTTTTTAAAGCTAGTTTCAAGTATTAAAATAAACAAGAATTCCCTAAAGTTGTAAGTCCCTATAGATTCGTTTTTCATAGAATCATAGAGAAATAATGAGTAAACCAATTGCTGCAATAAACAACTAGAAATGAATTGAACCAACTTTGAAAAAAAGAACACTATAAAGATAAAATTTTAGATGAATATGTTTTTGCAAATATAAATCTTTTTATAATCAATGTCTTAAATTATCGTTGTTTTAAATACATGAGAATTCTAATTCTAAAAACACTCGTATAATACAGACGTAACTTTATATCTCGTGATTGATGATAAGATTATTCATCAATGAAATGATTTTCCGAAAATTTTAAAAAATTTTTGACAAAATGCCAAATGAAATCAATAACCTAATTCATATACCCCAAGTAACCGTTCAGTCAGATTGGACAGAAGTGGTTTCAGATGTTCTTCGTGGGATAGTTGCTTCTGAATCTTTTTGGGTGTCTTGCTATCGAAAAGGTATGATGCTTTAGTATAAAAGGTTTACGCTTTTATTTACTTACAACAAGGTGTTCTCTAGGTTCTACATCTATTCATGGTTCCGTTCAAGTCAAAAGAAACTCTGCAGGCTCTCGTTCAGTGGAACTCACTGGACACGATGGTGTCATAGTTGAAAAAATAACCAATGTGCTTTTCTAGTTTTACATAGTTTTTTTCACGACTTTCGTACTTTGTTGAGTAACTTCATTAGCTGAAACCATAATTCATTTAGTATTCCTTCTATGTTTCCTGTGACGGACTCGGAATTACAAAAGCAATTATTAAGGGATCAAAGGCTACCTTTAAAAAATTACATACATCTGCTGTAAGTATAATTTTAGTTTATATCAATTATTTATGTTTTATTAATTTTGAGTTTCAATAGATTAAGTCTATGGATATTTCGCCTGGTGGGGAATTATACGTTACTGGTGATAATGATGGAATACTGAAAGTGGGTGATACGAAAGATGGAAGTGTTAGGGTATGTAACTTTTTATTCTAATTCTTTTTCTTCATACATTTGTACAATATTTAAACTTTTTAGCATCTTCCTATATAGAGAGAATTAAGAGGACACTTTGTTGATATTACTACCTGTCGTTTCTTTCCATCTGGTCAAGGTAGTTTAAGGAAACAATATTAATTTATGTGATTGAATCCACTGATCTCATCATCGTTAATTTTATAGTGATATTAAGTGGTGCATCAGATTTCCAATTGCGCATTTGGTCAGCGTTAGATGGAAGTAATCCGGTTACTTTGAAAGGACATACTAAGGGAGTTACTGATTCAGCAATCATAGAAAGAGGCAAAAATGTTCTGTGTAAGCTTTTTTTTTTTTCGTTATAATGCGTCGCGTATTTTAGAACCGAATAATTCTTAATGTTGTTTTAACGCAATTAAATAGCTTCAGCACGAGATGGCACTATTCGATTATGGGAATGTGGTATTTATTTGATGCAACTCCTCTTCTCGTTTTTCGGTTTGTTTTTCACATTTAATACTTTATAAATATTTGAGGTTCCGCTAGTATCATACGTACTATGGGGAATCATACTTGTGCTGTCAATAAGATCACTCTAGGATCATTTCCAGCTGAATCTATTATTGAAAGAAGGTCCGATATTGAATTGGGTAATATAATAATAATTCAAAGGTTGCAATGTTATGAATAGCCGATTTTTTATATATATATAATTATTTTTTATTCTTAGATTCGCGCGAAGTTGCAACAAATGATAAACTTGTAATATGCGCGCTAGAAGATGGTAGCATTAGTGGAATCGATTTAAGGAGCAAGGAAGAAGTGTGTATTATTATTTTAATCATTCCTATATGTGCTATATAAATAATGAAAACTTTTATTTCAAAAATAATTAGGCCTTCACCGAAAAGTCATACCGAAGTATACCTTTGTATTCTTGTACTTATTCTTCTAAACATAACTTCTTCGCGGTCGGATCAGCTGAAGGAGTTATTGAAGTCTTTGATATTCGGAATATAAAGTATTTATTTATTTTAACAGCAACAATGTCACATTTAACTATTTATAATGTTACTTATGAAAGTTCAATTGTTAGCAACAATCTGTTCTCCATTCAAAGAAACGATTCAGCAATTCTTGATTTGGTTTCCATTGAAGAGACGGGTGATCTTTTAGTTGGCCAAGGTATTATATAAATAAATAAATAAATATTTTCTATTAAATGATACGTAAACTGACAGACAGTATTTTCTTGAACTTTGTAGGTGATGGTTCTGCATTCCAAATTCAAACTGTTGTTGCAAGCAATATTTCTCAAGCGTCACAAGAATTTATTGGTTTCGATATGGACCCGATATATTCTATTCGGGTGATAAATAATGGAAGATTTATATATGCAGCTGGGAGGGATGGGTGTTTGAGAAAATTTTGATTTAGCAAAAACATTTTATAAATAGGTATATAATTGATCTAACTGAAAATTTAAAATTTTTGTTATTATTCGTTGAACATTAATATGAAGAGAAATATGAGATATGAATGAATATAACTCAATAAAATTTTTTTTTATTATATCATTCAAAATTTAAAGCTTTAGATTATCATATACTTTTGAGATAGAAAAGTTTGGACCAAAAATTCTTGGCCGCAGCAAATGCCAAACCCCGGGGATGAACGTAATGTTATGTTAGTATTACAGAGGAAGCTTGTGTGTTTGAAATCACCATTTTTGGAATCTAATACTTTAGCCCACGCTACGATTGGCCGGTATAATTGATTAAGCATACAGGCGTGACGAATAAACTAACCCACCGAAAATATTTAACATCACCTGACAAACCACCTAACACCCTCAATTAACCAGCAATCGTATCGTGGGGGTAAATTAGTGATCCCCCATTTTTGTCTCCGATCGGATTAACATGTGATCTCTAATCTCATGGTAGGAAATGCAACCAAAAGCAAAAAAAATTAAATGGATAATAGTGAAAGAAAAATTTGTTTAAATATTACCATAAACCTTTGTAATCAAATGTTTATTATTTAAATTAAAACAAACGGTGCCGAAATATCTCCTTTCTTTTTTTTAATAACTCCCAAATTTTCGTATTGTTAATTGCATCGATTCTTTTTACTGTCTATGCGTATTTGATAAACTCAGGTTATTTACCAATAATTAGAATAAGAAAAAGAAATGCTAAATAAAGCTATTAATAATAGCTTATCGCTTCATGTCTCATTAATCACATCGACCATCTTTAGGACCATCCTTCCATCTCTCATTAATTTTATTACAATCAAAAATTGGTTTATCCAAACGTTCATTAACAATATTATGCATATCACATAACCATTTTCCCAATACCCTTCTACTTTCAACCTTGGGTGGAATTTTATTCATTTCTTCACGTAAATGTTCGGCACAATACCAACAAGGATAAAATTGAGAAAAGCCAGATAATAAATTACGCATACTTATTTGTTGTTCAGAAGAAGGTTTTTCGGGATAATAAGCGGCCATCGTATGTAAGAAAGTCCATGTAGCTCTGCCTAATTGTTCTGAATCTGGTGGACAATCTTGAGGTAATCCTTGTGAAGAATTATTGTTTGCTATATTACCACCAGTTGCATTACCTTCCTTTGTTGTCATTTCAACTTTATGTTGTGATGATTCTTTCTTTTTCCCTCGTTTTGTCCAATCTCTGAATGCGGTACAGGCTCTACACGGTTTTCCATCTTTATCAAGGAAAACTCCATTGGGTTTTCCACCACCTGAAGTTGTCGCTTCTGGATTCTTTTTGGATGATTCGTTAACAGATGATGCCATTATCTTTGTAGATCGGTTACCATTTAATTTTAACTGTGTGATATATTCGTCTTGTAAAGGAAGTAATTCTGTCATAATTAATGAGGTTCAGAGGGAAATAGAAAAAAAAAAAATTTTTTATTTTTTAACATTAATAAGCTATTTTGGAAATCATACGATGATACACAAAATCTTAGTTGCTCGTGTAACATAGAACTGATATAAAATCAACATTTTTCTTTATATAGTTTTTTTTTTTTTTTTTTTGTCTCAATCGTAGACATGGCGACATCAGATTATCCGAATGAAACAAAAGTTATGGTTCCACCATTAAATTTTGCAATGGTAGCACCAGGAGTGTATAGATCCGGACATCCTAACAGAAAAAATTATCCTTTTTTAATTAAATTAGGACTTAAGAGCATAATGTATTATTTAACAAGTTCAATAACTCTTGTTGATTAAACATCACTTTTTATGTATAACTATTCTCTATATTCCTATTTAGTTATTTGTCGTCCGATGATTTTAATAAAGAATTAGAGCAATTTGTCAATGAACAATTCATTCAAGTTTTTCATTATAGAATTGATGGCAATAAAGTATATATCTAATTTTCTTTTTTTACTATAAATTATTTTTTATTTTAAAAAAAAAAGAAAAAATTTAAATGTTAATATAGGAACCTTTTGTCGAGATTGAACAAAAAGAAATAAGTAGCGCATTAGTTAAAGTTTTGGATGTTCGAAATCATCCAGGTAATGTTGTATATCTACAAGTTTGAACAATTATTTATATTTTAATCTCTATTGTTATATATATTTATTTTTCGTTTAGTGTTAATTCATTGTAATAAAGGAAAGCATCGAATAGGGTGTTTAGTAGGGTGTCTTCGTAAATTACAAAAATGGTCAATGACTTCGATATTTGATGAATATCGTAGATTCGCTGGTTCAAAGGTATTAGCAGACCAAGAGGTATGAATCAGTTTTACTAGTTAAAGTATTATATTGGAAATGATTTAATGAAAAGATATTAAGAAATGATTTTAAACGAAATTGCAGTTTATTGAGATATTTTCCGAGCATGTACCTTATGATCCAAGACATAAGCCTGACTGGTTATAATCGTTTAAAGTGTCCACCATTTTTCGGTGCAAGAATACCAATCCGTATCTATTAAATAAGAAATGGATGTTAGTAAATCTCTCTCCCATTCTTCATAAAATTGATTGATTTGATTGATTTTTTCTTACCAAAATTTTTATCGGGATTACAATGACACCTCCCACTTTCATGAAATTCTTTATTAATTGGACAATGTTGATAAGGTGGATGTAAATATGATATATCATTAAAAAAATGTATTTTTGATTTATCCGTGAATAATGATAATCCTAATGAATGGACTGGTGCGTCTCCCCATCTCTCGTAAAAAAATCCCCCTTCTTTATCTAAATATTCAAAGTACTTGATATATGCTTCACTTCTCCAAAAATTTAAATTTCCAATTTCAAAGTTACTCCAAAAGTGACATAAATTATAATTTTCTCCATCATCTTTTAATATCCATTCCAATGCATTATTTTCTTTTACATATTTAGGATACTCTTTCATGAAATTTTTGGTGGTATTCCAAAGTGTTGGTATGGTATTTTCAAATTCATATAGACTTATTGTGAATCCATAATATAAATCATTTCGTTTCATAAATGAAAAAGGATCATAATCAATATCACACATATATTCTACGGAAGGTTCTAATCTCCAATAATAATCATATTCAAGTAGCGCTGGATGTCTGAAAAAAAATCCCGAATTAAATCTACACATATGTCTATATGATTCCGAACCACCATAGATCATTTTATCTTCTACCGCTTTTTTTCTTCTTTCGGCCGCTAAGTTTTGATCTATCCAACTTGGATAGCTCCACATCTCTTTTGGTATCAATGCTAAAAACAAATTGTGAAAAAAAAAAATTTTTTTTTTTTTTTTTTTTAAAAAAAAAATATTGTGAGAAAAAAAAATCTTTCGCTTCTCTCATTAAACTTACCATATTTTGTTTTAGATTGAGTCATCGCACTTGTATACTTTTTAAATTCTTCGGAAAATTCTACATCATTTAAAAATACATATGGATAATTATACTTTTTATTCCACCTATCTTCAAATTGTCTCATCGATGATCTTAATTGATGTAATTCTTGATTCCTCGCTAATATGACTATACACGCATTTACTCTACTATAATTTTTTATTACAGGAGGATCGATTAATTCTTTATAAGGGTCTTTATATTTTTGTCTGAAAAATTCATCTCGAGTAGTGCTGTTGAACTGAAAATTATATAATAAAAAGAT